CACCTCTATCAGCTGACGCCAACAGGCAGGAGCAGGGAGACAACACTGAGAGCACAGGAGCAGTACAGACTGATAAACTGGGTCAAAGCAAGGTGTGGGCCTAGGAAAACATTTCCCCAACATTGGTTTTAGTCATAACTTGGTTGATAACGAGCTCTGAAAGCAGAAGTTTAGGGGAAATAATTGGAATCAGACTTCAAGTATTTTTAACAATTTATTTAAAAAATGAGTGTACCCCTGTAAAGTGTATACTTTGGGCATCATCACTGCCTAGTGGCAAAGAAGAAATCCCCCCTCACATCCCCCTTCACTCCCATTGCTCCCCGGGCGTTGTACACTAGCTGCCCACTGCGAAGGGTTCAATGCAGAGGCCACATGTCACTGTGTGCTGTGTGCTCTGCATGTGTGACCATTAAAGAGGGTTTCATCCCTTCCATTCTCTTTTCTAAATGTCTTTCCTGCTGCATCAACTTTTCTTTTGACGTTAGACATTTTGGTTCTGTTTATACTCTTTATGATTACATGACTTGACTTAAGAAGAAACTGCAACATTTTAAGAGATTTCAGTGAGCCGGTAACACAATCAAGATTCACTGTGCGACATGTAGCTTGTTCGTGTAAAGCGGAATATAATTGTTTGATTATTGTTTGGCACTTCTGTGTAACAGTGATCAGCTGTAGCTGTTCCTCACCACTGGGAACCAAAATAGTGGTGCAGTGATGACGTAGGCCAACCCAGACGTCAGCATCACAAGTGCTCTATCCACAGAAAGTAATGGGACTCCATGTGGTTTGGGAATATTGCAGGAAATAAGCTCTGTGGCAAACACACATTCATGATACCTACAGGTTTTTGTATTTACTGACATATGTTATGTGTAGGCATCTAACCAAAAACCACATTCAATTAAGGAAGTACTGAGAGATGGTCTTATGGATTCATGCTAGCAATATCTTTGAGGTCCCGAGGGTCATAGAAGCCAACAGCACGCTGGTGACTGAGCCACATCCAGGCCAGCCTTAGGCCCCGGCCCCACGAGGACGCATACGGCTAAACGCATAGGATTAACGCAAACGCAAAAAAGCTTCAGTCCACGCGCAATATTTACCGGATAGTGTCTGTCCACACGAGACAGCTCCGTTTAGCTCCAACCGCTGGAGAAGCTGCAGTACATATGCATGAGCCTGTACGTGGCGCTGTAACTTCCTCCACAAAAGCAGCGAAGAAGCATGGTTGTCATGGTTGCCCTTCTGTTTATTCTCCGCGGTGGGAGCCGGGCAGAGTTTTTCGCCAGTCAACGTGTATTAAAGTTTTAATCTTCCGGACAAAATTATAAAAGTGCCGGTCAAAGGTCTTCTTTGTTATTTATTGAGCTTTAAAACAAATGAATAACGACTCTATATAATATAATAATAAAATACACGGAGCCTCTCTTTTTCCTCCCTCTCTTCTGACAGCGTCAGTGTCTGTCTCATGCAGCAGCTGATCCAGTAATGAGTGACCCGACAGTAAAAAAAAAAATATTTATAACTAGTTTAGGTAGTTCGAGAGGTAATTAGGGCGCACACACGGAGCCGTTGGACCCCCCAGAGCGTTGCGTATGCTGTTCTATCCACCTTGGGACCCGTTATCGTTTCCGCAGTTGTTTACTGTCATATTCGGTCGTCCTCGTGTGGCCAAACGGCCTATATGACACTAAACAGTAACGCAAACAACCGTTTTCATCCTCGTGGTGCGGGGCCTTAATGTGATCCTACACTTCTTGGGATGCTCAAACCTTCCACATGTTAACGGGGCTCTCCTTGTTCCTTCCTTCATCTCCTGGCTCTTTGCTGACAGCTGTCACCGACCTTTGATTATCTGTGACTGAAACAGAGGAATACATTGCATTACATTTAGCTTCTATCCAAAAGCACACTTACAATAAGTGCAATCAACAGTGAATATATACGAGCTATCAATAACACAAAAGATAATCGTTTTTTGGCTAAGGTTTCAAGCGCCAGATGACCAATGCAAATGATCCCAGCCCCTGGCAAGCCTAACAGTTGGAAGCCAAGTCAACATTAAAGTGCTTCTGCCACCTCAAGAACACTTCTAAGTGTAAATGTAATGTACTACATAAGATAAAGTGGTGTTTTAACAACGGAAGAACAGTGGTTGACTAATTTTATCACTGCTTATCACTGTAATAATCAACTTTCTGCTTAACCTGTCCTGTCTTCTCTACTAAAGTCTGGACCCTCTAATAAGTTCTTTAGCTGGTTTCCTCTCCCTTTGCTACCACGATGATCTGGATTGAAAGGCAATAGACTCTTCAATCAGTTTGAGTTGCACTTCCTGCCAAAGTAACATAATTCATTCTGAACAAGACTCACCAGTTTCCACCTGAGGATCTTGATCCACTCATCTCTGCCTCCACTCCCCGTCTTTGCACAGAGATAACAAAATATCCTTTCAGGGAAAAACTGAAGCTGTGGAGACAAAGAGAAGAGGACGAGCATTACATTGGAATCATCTGGTTTTTAACCCAAGGTACTTTAATCTCATCTCTTGAGTCAGATTCATTAGCCTTGGTTAGGTTCTAGAGAAAATGTTCTTAAGAATCAAAGTATAGGTTCCCTACAAAATGGTTTTACTCGATTTTTTCTTCCTTGTTTTTAAACCCTTGAGCCTCAGCAGTCACTCATGGCCAAAAGTAAATTAGGGCTAACATGTGAAGTTGTAACATAACCCTGTATCCCGCAGTTTAGAATCGATAAACTAAAGCAGCAGTTGGATGTGTGTGAAAGGTGGTAACCTCTGCAAATCCACAGCTACCCTTTAGTTACCTGTGCACCTCTCCCCTCCCTCCTCCCCATTCTTCTCTTATTGAAACTACTTCCCCTTTTTTCTAAATCAAATTATGTTGCTGTCATGGGGAAAGTTGCCTCAGAGAGCCTTGCTGTCAGCCATTTCTTCATAGTGTGGCTGTCATCTGAAATGATGCCTATATTTTTATCTCTTTAGTAAAATTGCATTTTTCGTTCACTTTTTATATCTTTTGTACAGTTTTTTTATTCCAGTTCTTCAACCCTTAAATCATTTTTTCATTAAAACATGTAGGCCTATTTCCATTTGAGAGTGGAATTGCAGGAGGGAGGAAGGCACCCTTATTGACTACACGCTACCACTCAACAAGTGCTTATACTTCACGACCATTGCTTCAAATGTTACCACCATAACATCTTTTTACCTTAGGCCCCGGCCCTACGAGGACGAACGGTCGTTTGCGTTACTGATTTAGTGTCCTATAGAACCCGTTTCGGCCACACAAGACGATCGGAATCTGACAGTAAAACAACTCGGGAAACCGAATAACGTTNCACGCTCGCTCACTGTCGCTCTACCATCCACAAACACATGCACAAGCCACACCCCTCTCTCTCTATCTCTCTCTCTTAAAGGGACAGCGATCTCATCTCACTCTTGAGATGAGATCGCTGTCCCTTTAAGAGAGAGAGATAGAGAGAGAGGGGTGTGGCTTGTGCATGTGTTTGTGGATGGTAGAGCGACAGTGAGCGAGCGTGTGTATGTTTCTGGAAGTGAAACGGGCAGCAGAAAAACAGAGGTCTGTGATGTATTTTGTGAAACAGAAGAACAGCTAAATAAATGCAACGCCTCCCAAGAAGAGCTCGCCTCTCTCCAGTCATTTAAGCTAAAGTGGGTTATTGAACCTGAAGCTTGTTGCTTCTGCCCTCCTCGACTACGGTCTGGGAGCCGACAGGAAAATGCAACACACAGATGGCCATTCCGCCCCTTTGAAGCATATTATTTTGATGAGAGATGAGCAGATCGCCACTGGGCTTTCAACTAAATACACAGCCACGCAAAAACTGCGGCATTTGTACAGCTCCTTTTGGGTACTGCAATTAGTGAAGTGCTTTCCTCCGTGGTGAAACGATCAGCACTGCACCACGGAGGAAAGCGGCAGAAAGTCACCTGGAGATAAAGAGAGCGGGGCTGCGTTGCGTGCATGGCTTCCTTCTGCAGGTAACGGGGAGACGCGCTCTGGCGGCGGTCTCGTTAAGGATCCGAAAATACAATTTAAATATTTTGCACACTTATTCCACTTATTCCTAGTGTGCCACTGGTTACGGTGCCGCGTGCCAATGCCGGCACGCGTGCCAGGGGTTGCCGACCCCTGGTGTAGAGGCATAAAAATCAGTGGGGAGACAACACATCCCTGGGGGACGCCAGTACTGATGGTGCTTGATGTGTTTTTTACCCCAGACTTACAATGCTGCTTCCGGTCTGTTGGAAGCTAGGGATCCACTGATCCATGGTGTAAAGTAATCTATCTATATTTTCGGCTTTTCTATGATGTCATGTTGGCCAACAGCAGTCTCCTAAAGAGTCAGGGCCACAGATGTCAGGGAGACAGGCTTTAGTTCCTGAATCCTTTGATCTTGTGGACAGGTATGATGTGTTTAATGGTTACTTTCCAACTTTTCAGAGTAGCACAGCGTAATTAGCTTTTAATTTCCACTCTGACCTTCTTTGTCAGTGCAATTCTGGCCTGGCTTACAGGAATTATTGTATAGAACTCATTCTTGGCATAATGTAGTTGCCTGAGTTGTGGTTTATGCAAAGAGTTACACGCAAATCTTGTATTTTTGAAATGTTGAAAGGAAATGCTTTTATTTTGAAGTGCAAGGAAGTATCCTGCTCTTTGTTTTTCCGATTAATTAATGTATGAAATGAAACGAGATGTTGAGTGCATGTTTCCCCGTCTACTACCGTTCTTGTTGTAAACTGCTGCAATAATAAACAGTGAAATGTTCAGTTTGGACCCGCTTTGTTCTATTGGAAGCTTCCACTACACAACATGTGTGTTGTCACAGTGTCACAGAGTTGTAGGTCCGTAGCCGCAGCCTTGAATTAGCAATGAAAGCAGCAGCTGTAGTCTCTCCTCACAGTGTTGACCACAGGCGGAGCAGCTTCTGTGTTGGGGGAGAACATGGACCAGTGGTCCGAGAATGCCAAAGCTGCATGGGGTACGAGGCGAGAGGAATCCTAATATATAGTGTAGCGGTGATCCAATGCTTCTGTGTTTTGGAGGTTTGCGTCTGAGTTAAAGTCCCAAAACAATGAGCATATATATGTTATGTATATATATGTTAGGTTATCTATTGTATTTATATATGTTATCCTTCATCATCTATTTGGAGTCATGTTTCTGTCCACCTGATGTAGGTTTGTTCTTGATTCACTCTCCTAAATGCTCCACTGTGTTCACTGGCTTGTTTCTTACTCTCTGTCTGCTGTTGTGGTGGGTTGTGAGTGTATAATGGTTTTTTCAGGTTTTTTTTAACCAAATTACTTTTGTACTGAAAACAGCTTAACTGGCGTGTCTGGAAAAAAAGTTTGATGAAAACCGTGAGAATGAACCAGAACAGTAAAACCATGAAGTCAAAAAAATGAGCTAAAAGACGCTGAATGATGCTTATCAATCAGGATGTGATTCTCACTACAAACAACATCTTTACCAAACACATATAATCCATTGCTGTCTTAAAAATATGCAGTATGGCAGCTTTACTCAGCTACCAGGAGTTGAATAAGTAAAACATTCAGAAGAAACTCTCTGAAATGGAACTTAGAAGTTAGCCCTGCCTCTTTCCATATAGGACTTTTTGGTCTGTAATTTGTGTTTCCAAAGAAAAGTGTTCAGGGAGTAATCATTATTTATTTCTAGGCAGAAACGCCAATGGAGAGATTTTAAAATGGCTTTTTAATGCTTTGCGCCTCTCAGAATGATATTCACCTTTGTGTTGCAGGTGGAACTGTTTTCCGTCATAAGGCATGAGGTCAGAGGTCAGGTGCTCTGGGGATTTTTCACCACTACCATTTCCTTTAACACTTTGACCGTTTGCCCTGGCTGTAAATTAAAATCCTCTAGCTGCGTGGCCCTGTGAGACTGATGTTAATGCAGGGTCAATCTCATCTACAGTCCCAACCAAAGCCTTTCCTCCATTCTGATTTGTCAACATGTTTTACTCCCTCTCCTCTTTTTGTATGTTTTTATACATTTGTTAAGCATAAATTGTTTGTGCTGGTTCCTTCAGTTACAGGAAAATACTGTCGTAAAAAAATAGAATTCTTGGATTGCTTAATTAACATTAAAACATGGTTTCGTGGTTATCTCACAATGATACTTTGATGTTACGTGTTACATAAAATATCAATGTTTATTTATATAGCCCAATATCACAAATGTTACATTTGTCTTAGTGGACTTCACGGTGTGTACAGAATATCAGTATGACAATACAACACCCTCTGTCCTTAGAGGCTTAGACCCTCACATCCTACAAGGAAAAACTTCCAGAGAAAACCCCACAGTTTAAAGGGGAACATGGGAGAAACCTCAGGGAGAGCAACAGAGGAGGGATCCCTCTCCCAGGACGGACATACGTGCAATAGATGCCGTGTGTAAATTGAAAAGATAATACATTTACAACATAGGTAGTCCAAATGTTTGGAAATGCATGTGTGCACAATAGGAAGATGAATCCACGAGGATGTCAGCAATCTTGTGGGAGCCATCAGGGAAGTAATATGGTGAGAGTCTGGCAGGACCGCAGAGACAGGTTCAGCCACGACTGGAAGTCCAGGACTCAGATCCAGTGCTCAGGATAGAGGATCCAGAACACACGACCACAGCAACAGGATTAGTTAGGATCCCGGCGTATATATGGACAGACCTCATTAAATATTCTGAGCTGAACTCCTCCTCAGCCTCTATAATATTTAATGAGGTCTGTTTTATACGTGGCATTCTCATTCAGGGCTGAAACTCTCTTTTACTTGATCTTGAAATACAATATATTAACAGCCAGGATAAAGAAAGCCTTAATCTATAATCCTCATGTTGTTTCCATATATCTCCTTACATGGTATTCCACAAAAGCTGCATATATAAATATATGACACATAAAACAATGCTATGGATGGCAATAGCCAGAGAGGCCTAAGGGCACAAAGAAGCAGTTGGACCGCCATTAGCCCTGTGCTTTTCCTGTGTTCTTTCAAGGCTGGGGGTCAACATACCACTACATCTAGATCAGTAAGTCAAACCTGGGCTGGATTTTCCATGTTTCTATGGAAACAGATAGGTTTTTATTAATAATATGTTTAACCAACTATCTTTTCTGGTGGAATCATTTGATCATGATTCAGTCAAAATGCAAACAAGTGTTTTCTTTTACAATTATCACCCATATGAATTTACATTTGAATACAACTGAACTGCATTCTCACTTCTGTTTGAGAGAAGCTTATTTTGTCATAGCTGTTTTTCTTGTAATGTAAGGCGGATAACTATTTGGTTAGAAAAAACTGATGGTTTTGCTCTAAAAAGAAAGTGTGTTTGCTGCATGATTAAGTAATTATTAAGTAATTAGGTAATAAGTAATAAAGCTACCTTTTGATTTCACACACTTGAACAGCAGTCTCCTGGATGAAGGTTCTGTTTGTTTGTTTGTTTGTTTGTTTGTTTGTTTGTTTGTTTGTTTGTTTGACCCACCCGTCCTCCTCCATACCCGCATTGTGATTCAAATGTTCCTGATTCATCCAAGACCAATGTGGTTAAGGAGAAATTCCATTCGGCTCAAAACCAAATTCTTTCTGCATTTTGCATTGGGATATCATTTCATATGTCCAAGTTATACACAATTCTAAGCAAATATGCCACAACATTACAGGCCTCAGGATTTGAATTCTGAAATGTCCATTAGAATAAGCTTATTTTGTCCAGAGAAAAAAAACTGAACTACTCCATGGCTTAACAAAAGCAAAGCCTTCAGTGCTTAAGAAAATATAATCGAATCAAATCATGACCTACATTTTGAAAGTCCAATGGAAATGGGATTTGGAGAATCTCCAACACTGTCAAACATGCATCATCACTGCTATGGCCTTTTATGGGCAATAGTGTTTCATTAACTCAGATGGTGTTTTCCTTTTCAAATAATTAAAACCTATAAGGACCATAATGTTTTGGCAGTCATTTAGTTTTAGTACCAGCTTCTTGATGATTATAGTTATTCCTTGGGGGGGATCTATAACTAACCACAGTATTGACTTCACTGTCTTCCATCTTAAACTGATCAGCCTGCCAGTAAGGCTGGGTTTTTACTCTAATTATAAAATCAAAGGTCAGAAATTCAGACCAACCAGACACATAGAAGAGTGTAGCTGTTTTAGATATTCCACAGAAAAAAAGATTGAGTTTTGGCGGACTCCAGTTGTGGAGAGATCTATAAAAACGTATGGTGTGTGCTCTCGTACTTTATTTATTTTCTGGCAAAGGGCCAGAGCAGGTAAATATGTTGTAGTGCTGTGAGCACACACTCAAAGCATTTAGCCTCTTCTCTATTGTAGGTTTCTCCTGCAGTATTTGCATGTCTCCTCTGCCCGGAAGTGCTCAAATAGCGGGCTGTGAACAGGATTTGACATTATGTTATGGGTAAACAGTTTAGACTGCTGTTCCCCATCTGTTCAGACACAGAAATGCTATTTCCGCTCCTCAGCTTTATTGCGTTAACATGTTCTCTGTTGAATCCTTCTGTAAAACAGGACTGATTCTCCTTCTTCTCCCCTTTATGTTTAGTCTTTCTTTAAGAACATGTAGAAAAATAACCAAACAGTGTTCTTTAATTGTCTTTGTCTTTAATTGTGTAACTAAACTAAACTCAATTTAGTGTTTTGTTATGTTAAGAGGGGCATGTGTTTGGAGACTCCACACTTGACTAGTGTCTACTCCTCCATTCATGTCTTATGTCTGTCTTTACAGCAGAAATCAAATTAGTCTCATCTCTTCTAAAAACAAGTAAACATGAATCCAGATTTATGAAACGAAATATCGGTATACTTGAGTCATGGACTAAGGCCCCAGCCACACGAGAACGATAACTGTCGTATCCGCTACAGTTCTCTATAAGATAGACGGTTCGGCCACACGAGGCCGACATGGAAACGCAGAAAATGATAACGATAACGGGTCCCAAGGTAGGTAGATCTGCAAACGAAACGCTCCGGGGAGCAAACGGCTCCGTGTCTACGCCTTATACGATAATTTCCTGATAACGTTGAAGCAATAGCCCCGCCTCTCCCCACCTCTCCTGCTCAGAGATCAGCTGCTGGGCTGTCAGAAGAGGGGGACGAAAAGAGAGGCTCCGTTTTTTATTCTTATATAGAGTTGTTATCAATTTGTTTTAAAGCTCAATAAATAACAAAGAAGACCTTTGACCGGCACTTTTCTAATTTTGTCCGGAAGATTGAAACTTTAACGGCCGGCGAAAAAAAATCTAACTGAAACTCACTTCCTGTCTGTGTGTTTTCCCGCCTCTTTTGATGGTCTGCCGTGGCCTTTAGTTTTGACCCATCAGTCAGCTGCCCTCCTGTCCACCTCCACCTCCTCCCATCATCTGATGACTGAAGTCTCTTATTTGACCTTTCCTTGCTCTTCGATTCTTTTACTGCAAAAACTGAAACGTTGACTTTAATGAAATGTATTATGTCAACAGATTTCAAATAACTGTATTAGATTAGTTGAAAGCCATAATATTAAGTTTAAATGCAAAATATTAGGTTCAACCTAATATTATTGCTTTTTTAATTAAACGTCAATGTTTCAGTTTTTTCAACTGGACGTCGTTATGGAGCGCCCTAAAGCTTTTGTTTCTGCTTGGGCAGCCAAAGAGTGACCTATGAGCGGCCATGAGCAAGGAAGCACAAGCACATCCTTCATGGAAGTCTATTACAGCCGTCACGCCCCCTATTGTGCAGTTACTGATTGGGCGCTAAAGCTCATCAGATACATCTCCACATCACTGCAGTTTCAATTGCAGTCAAGAGAGATAACACATTAAGTGTGCATCACTCCCAAGTGTGTCAGTACTGTTATAAGACATAATCTACTGGTAGGAAAGGTCCTGTGCCTAAGCTGGACACACAGTATAATAATAGATACGGAGGGCAGGTGTGTGTTGAACAGGTAACGTGCCAAGGAGAAATTGTTCTTGTGATTGCAATTGAAAAGGCTTTGGTCGCACTGTTTGGTCACTGTTCAATCCTTGTTGAAAACACAGATATATGATGACATCAACCGGAAAAGAAGGATTCATTGAAAATGCTCTTTACATTAATCCATTACAAAAATAAAAATGTGAGTACACTGCTTGAGTTAATGAACTAGTTACATCTCTGTGTTTATGGTGTACCAACAAACCTGTCGTGCTCATAGAGCAAAGTCTTTTTTTGTCAAGTGAATGCAGGATTCCTTTTCTACTACCACTTAAAATACATGCTTTCATGATAGGGGCTATCCCCATTTAGCATCTTCTTCTCCATATTTCAATGGATATTCGTTGTATTTTTTAATTCTCAAACATTTATTTTCTTGCTGTTTTTGTTTATATTAAATGAATAATTATTTCTTGCAATTATTCTAGTTGAATTCCAGTAATTTGTTATGCTTTTATTTTGAAGGCAGCTTTAGGGCACAGGGTGATTTGGACACCTGGTGATATGCATATGTAGGAGACAGGTGGAAGTGGGATAGCGCACCAGTACAGGCATGTTTTTACCACCTAAAGGCTGGCTGCAGGACAACAAAAGAAACCATAGTTAATTGTACTTTTGTTGGAATTGGATAATAGAAATAAACGTTCAAAAGGCGTTTTTGCCTGGACTTGGATCTTTCCCTCCGTAAGATTCTCTGGTGCCTCAGCGGCAGTTATATTTTTGGAGTTACATTACATTGCATTTAGCTGACACTTTTATCCAAAGCGAGGCGAAGACAAAAGAAGTCTTTCAGAACATAAAACGAAACCAGCGTGCGTGAAAAATCATT